TGCCCTTTAACGCAAGGAGTTGCGGTTATAAATGTATCAAGTAATGTCATTCTATGTATTGTTTGGCCAACTCGAGGGGATGGGGGAAAAGGTGGACGGGAAGGAATTAGGGAAAAAGAGCTCGTCATCGTCTTTACTAAGTGTCTAAGAAAATTTCACCAATTTCAATTGTAGGTGGTTCCCAAGGAGTCGTGCTATATATTGCTGTAATTCCTTGGAAGCTGCTGAGGTTTTTCGAGAACGCGGTGCTGCGGTTGGCATCGCGACGGAAGAAGTAAATTCTTATGATTTGAACAACAGCAAGATTGTTTGACTGTACAAACCTTGTTCAGATATCTACGATAGATACATTCCAATCCTTCAAAAAATTACCAACGCACAAGGTTGGGCGAGTAATCGTAACGACTCCACAGGTATCTAGGCCTACATCTCCTGGTAGGGGTAAATATAAGCCATTTTGACAAAATTAGCTCTTTTAGACTCTTGAGAAGATTGTCGAGTCCGATTCCACAGTAGTAGAGGACATTCGGTGCGTTGTCTTTTGTCTGGAGGCGTCCGAGAACCTCCGGTTTACTAAATACAAGAATATCGTTGGTGTCTTGACTGTGAAAGGGGTAAGAGAATTTTCGAACATTTTTGACTATCTTTAAAAGCGCCTTTCAGATTCTTTTTCGTGTACTCCTGGTGACGCCATCAGTTCCGTCAACATCCAGAAAAATTGGTCCTCTAAGAAAGAGACAACAGCTTATAACATCGTTGCTAATATCACAGTGGATCGAACCTCCTGCAACGGATCCTTCCTTTAGGTGAGAAAAGAATGATGGAACCCTACTATAAAAAACGTTAAGTGTTGTTCAGAAATCACTCAGTACCGCTTGGTCTATCACTTGAATATTGCGAAAATGTTGAGGTTCTGTCTGAAACTCGATCGTTCATCGAGAAATGGATAGAGGTAGTTAGTGAAATCCTTGCTCCAAAATTGTCCCTAGAACTTTGCTTCAAAATTTTGAAAGAGTTTATTTCTACCTATTTATTGTTTGAACTGATAAAATCAGTTTTTTGCATAAAAACTGGTATTTTCAAGAAGCTAAGTTGAGTAAAATGAATCGGCCTTAAAAACGTAAATTGTTTTTATTTTCTCGTATAGAAAAG